GATAAATGATGTTTAAATGTAGAAAAACAAAAAAAAAATTAATCTATGGAGACTTAAAATTAGTTGTGCATCAATGATTGGAACAAATTACTATGCAACTTTCACTACTAATACATGCACCTAGTGTACAGTTTCAAGACACTCCATCAATCAGTCAAATCACAGAAGCGGAAACTAAACAATCATTCATTTCATTGCGGTTTATATCTTTTTCATTTCCACGTTAGTTATGTCCTATGAGTTCCTTAAGATTCTAATTTCATACTTAATAGGTAGAATTTGGACATAAAGAGGAGACAAAATCCACGCATTTTGAGTGGCAGTCCAAGTTATGATTCACATTCTGACGAGGATTGGTGTTTTCTCGAATAAGGCGAATGGTAGAGTGTCATAAAGGATGCCTCTTACTTAAAATTTCTCCTCCCTGTGAATAGTTTTACAAACATATACTGGTGTACATATAGAGCAATAGGTGTATAAACATAGCACTCATACTAGTTAAGAAATCAACATTAGAAAATCAAGTTACATTTAGTTTGTACTTATTAGAGTATAATGAAAATGTGATCCTGTTTGTTCCGGTTAGCCACAAATTGGTTATGTGTTTGTACTAAACCAAAGCTAATATAAACACTATATATGTATGATCTTATCTTGAATAACAGAAACATTTGATTTTTCCAAATCCTCTCACGAGGAGAGAGATTTCGATCTCGTCTTCTTCTTTTTCTCAATAGAGATTTAGTTTATGCTCTAATGTAGTCTTCTAATTTGGAAAAATCAAATGTTTTTGTTATTCAAGATAAGATCGATATATAGTGTTTATATTAATTTTGGTTTAGTACAAACACATAACCAATTTGTGGCTAACCGGAATAAACCGGATTACATTCTCATTTTACTCTAATATTACTCGTGATTGTGTATATTCTCTGATCACTAATGTTTTGAAAAGTAAGACTTTGAAATGGTGGCAGAAGATGGACATTTGATCGCGATACATTTATTTGTCAGTTATCTCTTACTTTAGAGAAGAACATAATACTTTGCTACGTCAGTTTTGCCTTTTGACAACGTAATCAGCAAGAAACAACAAAGGAGCCACCTTATCCGAATCAAACCCATGAAGATGTTCCCTCGCTTCTTTGTTCAACCTCTCTGCATATTCTCTCGACTTCTCCACTCCAATCACTCTCGGATAAGTCAGTTTTCCGGCTACCAAATCTTTCCCGGCGGTTTTACCAAGCTCCTTCGATGACTTAGTCACATCAAGCACATCATCAAGCACCTGAAACATCAACCCAACGCATCTCGCGTATCTCCTAAGCTTCTCGATCTCTTCATCAGAACCACCTCCCATTATAGCTCCCATAACAACCGATGCTTCAAGCAACGCAGCCGTTTTGTGAACATGTATAAACTCAAGATGTTCCAATCTGGCTTTTTCGTCATCTTCAAAGCTCATACCTTCTCCGGCCATATCTGCCGCTTGACCCGCCACAAGCCCTTCTAGTCCCACGGCTTTCGCCAGTTCCAAAAGGGCTCGGAGAACCTTATCTGGGGGAACGTCTTGCAAAGTTGATGTAGCCACCTCCTCGACGGCCAAAGCTATGAGCGCATCAGCGGCCAAGACGGCTATATCCTCGCCAAAGACTTTATGGTTGGTGGGTTTTCCACGACGGAGACTGTCGTCATCCATACAAGGAAGATCATCTTGGATGAGGGACGACGCATGGATCATCTCAGTGGCACATGCAGCCTGCATCGCGTTCGACTCTTGGCCTCCCACGAGCTCGCATGCAGCCAAACAGAGCATTGGCCTTACACGTTTTCCGCCTGAGAGAAGCGTGTACCTCATGGCCTCGCGGATCTTGAGTACTGGCTCGCAAAGTGGAATGGCCTCGTCCAATGCCTTATTGACGGACTTAGACTTATGGACCATATACAACATGAACTCAGAGTCAACGCTATCAGCAGTCAGAGAGTGGCCGGACAGATGCGGGGCAGACGTAACCGCAGTGTAACGCGGTCGTAGGAATCGCCAAAACAAGAATTGAAGAGAAAGAAAGATGGAGATGAGAGTGTAAACAAGAGCTTCTCTAGTTTCCATCTTTGTACTTTTTTGTTTTTTTTGAAACTGGAATGTTGATACTTATTTATAGTGGAATGGTTTTATGGTTTAATTAAGAAACTAGCCACGGTATCAGTGTAAAAAATATTGATTTTTTTTAAAATCAATTCAGTTACGTAACACACAATGTAAAACAGCTTATCTCTCGTAATAATTCACATGGGAGCAAGTATGGATTTATTGATGATATTAGCGTCTAGGCACGTTGGGAGCCCTTATGAAGCTGTTTGGTCCGCACGCAAACAAACCATATTTCTCATTAACAAGTAGTCCCATGTGGTTGATTTAAATTGCAAAGTCTTCTATGTTTGAAATGAGCATTAAAAAAAGACCGAAACTAGGCGTATATAGAATACATGAACCCTTCTACAGTGCCATGAACTACAGGAACATGTAACTTCTACAACTTTCACAAATGATCCAGTTTGGAGACAATCCATCAATCAGTCGAATCGCAGACGTAGTAAATAATACAATCATTCAATTCATTGCTGTTATATCTTTCTAATCTCCGGATTCGTTATGTCCTATGAGGCCTTTAAGGTTCTAATTTCATAATAAGAAATTTGCTAAAAAGTCACAAGAACTATTTTGACAGTGCAAAAATATCACAAATGAGTTTTTGTTACAAAAATATCACATGTCTCAGATTTCGGACGAAAATGTCATTGGCGTGGGTTGAGCTGAGCATTAAATGAGTTCTAACATTTCTAATAGAGGTCTTCAAGAGTGATTAAAAGGTATGAGATGTTTATCTACCACAATTAATGAGGGATAAAGGTAGATGTATACAAACACTAATAGAAAATATAATGAATTTATAAGATTATATTTGGTAAAGGTATCTATAGTTGGTAAATATTTAATGAGTGAAAGAAAAGTGAAGATTACAAAGAGAAATGCTTTTGTTCTCTTTCTTTCATCTTTGTTCTCTCCCCTTCTCGTTCTTTCTTTAAATCTTTCTCTGTTACAGAGAATGAATTTTTTTTTTTCTTTTTTCTCACTTTTCTCCTTTCTCTTCTCTCCCCTTTCGTCTTCTTTCTTTAATTTCTTATTTCTCAGATCCTTTCTTTTTATATCACTCATGCTCACTTCTTTATTTTGAGTTTTTTTTTCAAAATATTAAAGATTTAGGCGAGTACCTAAACATAAAACCGATCTACTGTACGTACATAACATAAAATTGGTACGTACATTAAACATAAAAACATTCGATAATATACTAGGAAAACATACATAACTCCACTATGTATATCACCTCCCTCCATATCTTTAGAAGCATCTATCTGAGCCTCCTTATCATCTCGTGATATACGTACATTCAAAGGAGAGGAAGTACGTACATCACCTCCCTCCATTTCCCTTGAAACATCTTTTGTCTGAGCCTCCTTAGCCTTTGCTGATGTAAGTAGAAAACACGTATCAGCTGCGTCCATATTCTTAGAAGCATCTTCAACCTCACCCTCCTTACCAACTTCCGCTGTTACATAACCTAACAGTCTACCAAAACAAGAATTTTCAAATGCATTTAATTGTTGAGTGGTTTCAATGATTCGACGATGACACGGAGGAGTTCTGGTTTGCTGTACGCGTTGATATGCGCTACCGATGGGTAATCGCCGATGACGAACAATCTTTCCGACATCTTCTCAAGATCGACATGCGTCGGTGATGTAAACGGCGACGGATTCATAATCAAAGAAAAAATCGAAGCAAATCTAGTTTCTTAGATGAAATTTTAGGATTCGTTTTTCCTTTTTAGGTCTATGAAAGTAAATGGCGGAAACCCAAAAGTTTTCGTAGAGAAAAGAAAAGAAAAAGTGAAAATTTTGAAAATATTGTCACAAAAAAAGTTTTATCTTTCTCCTGGATTTATTTTTCAATTTGGTTTGACAAAGGTCAATCAAAGTTGTGAACACAAAGCTTTTTTTTATTTATTTAAAAAATTCGAATATATAAGACAAAGTAGTTTTTTAAAGGCTATTATGTCTTTTTACAATAGACTTGTGATATATTTGTCTACAAACTCATTCATGACATTATGGTATATAAAACTAAGATCATGTGACTTATCTGCAAATATTTCTTTCATAATTATAGGGAGAATTGGACATAAATTGAGACAAAATCCACACATTTTGAGTCTCTGTGCAAGTTATGAATCAGATTCCGAACAAGAATTGCTTTCTACTCGGACAAGGCTAATGGTAAACTGTCATAGTAGAAGGATTCTTCTTACTTAAAATTTCACCTCATGAATAGTTCTACGAACATGTACACAGAGCAATACGTAGCACCCACACTATTAAAGAAACCAACATTGTAAATACGCAAGATTACATATATTATAGTAAGTTCAAACAACAGATTGTTGTCAAAAGTCTGCAAAACATCATCAGCATCTAAGCTTTAGTGAAGTCCTTGGCGCTAATGAAAAGGAAAACAGAGCTCCACCATCATTTCTTACCCTGCATAAGTTAGAATCAGTATATATGTTATCTGTTGGAAATTCTACACTCCAATTAGTTCAGTTTCATATTTGTCCATGAGTTATGAAGATAGGTTCCAGTATCCTACTCTTGGAAAGATTTGAATTAGGTTTGGTGCAAAATTAAAAGCACAATGCGTATCTGGTACCTTAAGGCGAGAAGAGCGGCGAACAGAAGACGTGGGTACAGGAGATACGAGTGGTGAATCACTAGATCTTTTGTGTCGTCGATTCACTTGCACATTAGATACCTTGTTCTCTGGAGTTGACATGTTTGTATCAGTGGTAAATGATAAAGCTGGAGCTGAAGCAGATATGATGGAAGTTTCCTGTTGAAGATTTTCTGAATGTGTAGGCAACTCTGAGAAGTCAAATAAGCACAAGTCTTGGTCAAATTCAACTTACATACTTAAAAATCTAGATGTCTGATTTTTGGATATAAGAGAAGGGTGGAGTCAGTATATGTACCAGATAAGGTGGCTTTCAGAAACTTATCCCTCATGAGACGAACAAATCTGAAAAGGTCATTGGTTTTATTCAACTCTTGAACCATCTCTTCGGCATCATCCATTTGCGGGTTGCAATCTAATACTGATGATCATATAAGACAAAGATTGTACACAGTTGTTGTTACTAGACTCTTTATTAACATTAGAATGTAGCTGATGTTTGCTTCAGAAGATATAAATATATACACTCACGTGTGTAAGTGTCATTTCCATAGTGAACTGTGAACGAAAACTCGCGTGTAGGCCTTTTTGCATCAATGTTGGTGAATGTGAATTTTACTCCTATAAGAGAAGGTAAAAATAAAAAGAACAACTTTTATGGTCAAACTTCAACAATAAAGAGCTGTGATTGTTCCAAACTCAACATTTATCTCATTACCATGTCCAGCTTCAACGTGAAAACCGAGAGCCTGATTATACCAAGAGATGGCTTCATTGATATCTGGTTTTTCAGTGACTTTACCAGCATTGTCTGATAATGCTTCATTACATGAAAGCAGTAGAAATATGTTAGCTTGGTCTTCAGTGAATCATGTGATCTCTAACTAAAACTGAATAATGCTTGAGTACTTATCATAGATCACCCCATTATAAATCCCCAGGGCGTGTAGCTGACTCATGAAAATTACAATGTAAAAGACACAGCGATGAAATAAATCAGAGAAGCTAACAATACCTTGCAATTGTTGGGAGACAATTTTGGCATACTCTTCCCTCTTTGACTTCTGTAACTGCAGAGTTCTTCTAAGCACTTCGACTCGAGATTGTGTTGCAGAAATGGAATCCCTTATCCCCATTTGCCTTGCCTCTTTACGGGTCTTTGCTAAATATATAAAAAAAAATATCGAAAGATTCCAACGCATAAGATAACTAAGCTCAGCAAAACATGATACTGCTGTTTTAACAAGCAAAATCTTGTATGTAAGCAAAAGTTAACACCAAGGAGATACGTTATGTTTAAACATCTTCTTTAAGAATAAAGCAATAATTTTGCAGATTTATAAAAAAATTGTTCAAAGTTTGAAGCTTTTTGGGTGATGGGAAGTGAAGCTGATACCTGCCAAAACTTTAACAAGATTATCCTCTGCTTCTCTCAGATCCGCTTTCAAATTCGCTAGTTCCACTACAAAATCGAGGAGAAATTTCATAGAACCTCTCAATTTCACCAGTCTAACTCGAATTAAAAACCCTAATATCACAGAGACCCAAATGGGTAGAGAAAATTAACGAGACTGGATAGTACTATGCGAAACTTGAACTGACCGTGGCTTTGTGAGGTGGATTGAGCTCGTTCCAGTAAAGAGTCCATCGATTTCTTGAACGGAGAAGCGATGAAGGAATCGATTTTACGACTCTGTTCATCTTTATCTTTCTCATACATGAGTCCCAGAGACGCCATACTCTTCTTCTCCGTTGTATCTTCACCAGCGATGTCGCTAATTTGACGTTCCATCATCAA